CATATATGTATTGATCACTATTATATTTGTACATCACACAAATTACTGAAAAGAATTTATTAGATTGAATCTCTGTTTTTGATTCACTTTAAAATTCAATAAAAATGACTCATTTCTGAAACGAATAATAATAGATGATGAAAAGTGGATCATCTATAAACAATCATGATGCAAGCAAATTAAATCACCACTGCAATGACTAGGCTTCATTCAAAGGCATCTTCTAATGAAAGAGAATCATGACTATGAATTTCTTTCATAAAACTAATGAATCAATTCTGATAAGTACTGTTCTCAACTAGATCAACTGAAGATAGCAATATTCCAAGAAATGTCCAGAAGTGGCCAATAACAAGGGTATTGTGTTTTACCATGACAATGTAAGACCACATATCTCTTTGAAAATATCACAAAAATTATTGGAATATGACTGGAATATTTTACCTTGCCCACCATATTCACCCAACTTTTCAGTATGGGATTATCACTTAATTCATTCTAATCCATGCAGAATTCCCTTTGTGGTAAGAACTTTAAAAATCTGGAAGCCTGTAAAATTCACACCAACCAGTTTTTTTGCTCAAAAAAACAGGAAAGTTCTATCAAGATGGAATTATGAAGTTGTGAAACAGAGGTCATTAAAAACAGCAGTGCATAAATCACTAAACAAAAATAAAAGTTAATATTTTAAAATTTATGTTTATTTTCTGTAAAAATAATCACTACAAACTTTCTGGACAACCCAATACTTTTTAATTATGAATTTCTTTTATAGTTTATTGGGTATTTTTTTTAAATCAAACAACAGAATTTGTTTATAATTTATTTTCAATGTATTTTTTAAAAAATATAAAAAATACCAAGTTGTTAAAAAAATTATCAAAGTTTCCTACCATTGGTCACCTGAAATTTCAAGTAAAAAAGTCCATATTTTAACTAGTTTATCAAAAGCAAACATAATCACATGTAGTTAATTCTGTTGACATAAAAAGTCATTTTTTTACAAACCTATTAAAATAAGTTGATGAAATTTATTAATAAGTATATTTTTCATTGATTATAGAAGACTCTTAATGTTTATTTTTAGAATTATTTTACTACTTTAACTTCTTAAGTTGAAACTTGCTAAAATAAAGGGCACATTTACTAAAAGGCTTAAAACAGTTCATAAATAATGAATAATGTCACTTTTTATAATTACTTTATGCCCTGGTCAACTTATATACTAGTTAGTTTAATAGTAGTATTGGCAGTATGAAAACACATTAGAATATACAATGAAAATCTGATGTATATAGTGGCAGCAGAGACAAAGAGGAAAATACAGGGAGGGGAGGCTGTATAGACCTTATACTGTAAATACTTTTGAAACAGTTATTAGTAGTGTTGTAACAAATATTATATTCAGCCTCAGGCCGAATACCGAATATTCGGTCAAGAGCGTGGCCGAATAGCCGAATATTCGGCCAAACTATTCGGCTCGATTAACGCATGTACGAAAATTGGCACGCAAGCCGCATTATGGCAAGGATCCTGCTCTCCATTGGCCCGCTGTCACTACGCTTCGCCAATTGCGTTAATTCTTGACAGTTGTAGTGGACAGACAAGTGTCATGGAAGTATGTGATAAATGATGATATCAAATGTGGATAACAATAAAATGACCTACACGTGTAAATAACGGAAAAAGAACAGAGAAGGATCGCGAAGTGAAAATGTGAAAATAAATATGAAATTGAGTTGATAACATAATTGAACAAGTCGAGGCAGCTTATTGGCGCGAAATTTGCAGCCGTCAATGCCAAACAATTGTTGTCATAGACTTCGGAAAGCTAAATGCTTGTAATGAAAGTCACTTGCGTGCAAGGGTGAAAGCCTGGGGCCGTTCAGGCTATCAAGCTGTCTCGAATCTGTGAAATCATAACTGCGACTTATATTGACGTCCTATGTGTCTCTTTTCTCCGTTATCACCAGGCTGAGTCACGTAATTGTAAAATAGAAACTCTACGATGGAAAAGTGACGAATCGAAAGTATCGTGAGCGCATATTATGATGTATGCACAGGCATGCGTGGATTAGAGCGATAGAGGAAAGAGAAAGGGAAGAGTATAGATGAGCGCTTAAAAAGAAGGATAGGCAGGATCAGACCCTCAGATGTGCGAGGATTCTCTAACGATAGACGTGTACATGTGTTGATCTTTGTAATTATAAATTGTGAATACATGTGACTAATATTATTTTCTTTTTTATTTTGTGCATGTTACAAGTTATAAATAAATATAAATAAACAACACTAACTCGATAACATTAAATCTAAATACCAAAACGATTAATTTACTGTGTTTTTGTTATTTATTACTCCTGTTTTTAGGTATTCGGTATTTGGCCGAATAGTGAAAAATAGGCCGAATAGGCTGAATACCGAATAGTAACCGAATATTCGTTACATCACTAGTTATTAGAGATCCATGAATTTCTAATATTGTCTATATTGGCTGAAACTGGCACAATATTATTTTATTATCTAGCTGAAATTCATAATGGCAGTTTTGGCTAATATAGGCAATATTATCTCTCCGCTCATTGTATTTTTTTGCATTTGCAAGTTTCTTAGATACACAGACAGTGCCATAACTAGGCAGGTGCAACAGGTGCACCCACACAGGGCCCACTTGGAAGGGGGCTGAAAATGCATGTATTTGTTTTATTATTTTCCCAAACCTAATTAATTAAGGGGCCTAAATGCAAATTCTTGCACAGGGCACAGAAATGGCTAGTTAAGGCACTGCACATAGAACAACAGGGAAAGTATGAATTAAGCATTTATGAAACTGTGTTAAATAAGTCAACCTATAACAACAATGTACGTAATATGCTTGATTATTAAAAATCAAGAGAAAACATTTTCAAAATATATTACATAAACTACAATAATACTATATTATTGTTACAATTATTGTAAAAAATAATTTATTAATACATTTTATATTATCATATACTAATTTTTGATATTTTAAGATATGTACACTTCTAAAACATGACTCCTTTATTTCTAATAGATTCAATATATATCACATCTGATCATCAATTAAAAATTCTAACTAAAAAGTTATGAAATAATAATTTCAGATACTTTCTAATAATTTAAACTAATCTGCAATAATTCCAATTAGATAGTTTACAAATCACTTAAGTTAACCAACTGAAAGTTATTAAGACAATTTAATCAATAGAATATTCTGTTAGCTTTTCAAATATTGTTAATTCATTTCTAGATTCTTAATCTTGTTTCTTGGCAATTCTTAAAACAATTTTTAGCTCATTTTAATTCATCTCTAACAATACCAAATATTGGAAACTTCATTTTAAATATGAGCATTTTTCAGAAAATTTCTGAAGCAGATGTATAAATTTTTCTTATATTCAGGACATCTGAAATTTAATATTTTCTTCATTCATTTATACAGCTCCAGAACAAAAAAAAACACTTGGTAAAAATATCTCTTAGTAAGCAATATTCAAATGCAATATTTTTTTACTAATAAAAAGCAGAAGATAAAAATGTAAATAAAAAAACTAATAATAATTTTTCAGAAAAAGATATTTTCTAGATGTGATATAATCTTTAAAAACTATTTTTTGTATACTATGACAATTAAATGTTACTAAATGCAAGAGAGTTTCATTTAAAACTAAAAAAATTACATAAAGTGTTTAAAGAGATTTTTGTCAGAATATCTTGTAGTCTTCATAATTATTACAAAATTAAATGCATAATAAGTTATTTTTAAGAGTATTAAATTAATTACTGGAAACAAGTTTAAAAAAAAAATTCCAATCTTTTAGCAAAATTTAATATCTCTAACTTCATATTATCTACAGTTAGAACTGAATAATTTTATTTCTAGAATTGCTTTGTGAAGTAAAAATTTAAATGAAATATAAGGTTGTATATTAATTTTATATTGTAAATTTATATATATATATACTGTAAGTAGTTTCTGTGCTTGCTACATTGTGACAAGACAATGTAAACACAAAATGACTATATGAAACTTTTAAAAGTTTTATTAATTTGAGAATTGTATTTGTAAAACTGAAGTTTGAAATGTAGATTTATAATTCATCTCTTTATCATTTATATAATTAGCAATGTCTGACAGGCAGCATAATTATATAAAAAATGATTCAAATCTTGAATGTTTAAGAAAGTATTTAATCAATAATACAGGTATTACGTATACAGTGGAGCATCAAAAATCTGGAATAATTGGGGTGACACACATCCAGATTTTCAAATATACATGTAAATTAGCATTTTAAGTACTGTAAACTCCAAATATACTGTAATTCAAGTTTAGGTGTTCAAGTTCAAGACAGTATTTCTTAAAGAATGTAGGAATACTTAAAGGTTTAAAATATAGTTTACAAAACCACTATATTTAAACAAAAAAAATAATACACTAATCATAATTTCAAACTTAAAAAAACTGCAAATTCTGAATGAATGTTAGAACATGAAAATGCATTGCTGAAAGCACATCAACAATAAAGTTATCATTGAAAGGATTTTAATATTCATTTTTTAACAACTGAATCTGGATTTTTAATGCTTTACTGTATATAATTATATAAATTGTTATATCTACTCTACACTTCTATTGTAATATTAGATTTTTCCTGCGTAAACACTTATATTAGAACTATCTGATTTATAAATTATTATATATTCATTCTTTTCATTAAAATACAATCTTTTATAATTTATTACTTCTGAGTATCACATAATCCTTTAATTTTTTACACTGAATTCATTTTCCATTTTAAAAGTATAAATTGCTTATTTAATGTAACATGCCAGATAAAAAATTTTAATAAAGTATTTATTCAATTTTTCCCCCTTTAAAAACTTTCTCCACTTAAATAGATTTTATTTTAAATATTCAAACAATTATTTTATAAAAATCTAATATTTATTTTTATATTTAATATTTCACTTACCTCTGTTCTTTGCTGCAATCTTTTATTCATTTCATATATCCTATAGTCTGGTTGTCCAAAATATGGAGTGTGCCTCCTAAAATATGAGGAAAATGGTGATGAATAAAATGGATCAGCAGGTGGACCACCAAGCATATTTTGATTAAACATTGGCTTCATCAGTTAGCTTAAAATTAATCAAAATCGCAAAAGAAATAACAATAATGTAGACTGGATATCAATTCATATACACACGCACACAACTTAACACCACAATTCTTGTGTTTGCATATCTAAAATTCTGATACAGATGAGTTTTTTTGATTGTAAAATGTCTTTTTTTATTATTATTAATTTTTATTTTATGAATTTTTCACGTGTTCCTCGATAAAATTTGTGGGGAAAACATTCAAAAAACATACACTAATACAGTTCTGTTCGATAAACAATAAAATCTGTAAATTTCAAGGGTTACACGTGACTTTTGTAAAATGATTTTATCACGTGATCGATGACACAACAAACCAATTGTTGTTTAATAGTTGATAGTGTCAAAACTGAAGTAGAAATTATTCTCAAATGTTAAGCACGCTCTTCCACTCAATAAATTAGGCTTAGCAAATTATATTTTAAAAAGTTCACACTCTTATTATAAGAGTATATTTACAAAAAAAAAAATTAAAGTAAAAATACTCATAATAAAGTTTGATGCTTTTGTGATATAAACTTGTAAATGTCAGTGAATCATTTAAAGAGACGAATGAAAACAATACTACAGTATAGAAGACATTCTGGCTTGGATAGCTTACGACAAGCGCTTGCAGCGCCACATATGATATCAAACAGCAATCCCGCATTCAAAAAATATTTCAAAACAAGTTTGTAAATCTAATAAATTAAAATTATATTATTAATCTAATTAATATATATTAATCATTTTAAGGTAAACAAGTTTTATATTCCTCTATAATAAGAAGTAAACATTTTTTTATGACCAATAAAATTCGATTTGTAATGAATAAATTTTGTGTTTATATTCAATGTAAAATTCAAATTTATGTATAAATAATTTCACATTACGGCATTTATCTATATGAAAATTCTAATTTTTTTTCATTACTAGAAATATTTTATTCTATTATATACTATTAAGAAACAATTTTATAAATAATACCAATGGATATCCCGAAACAAGATCTACGAATTTAACAGCAGTTTAAAAAGTTAAAATTAGAATTAAGTTATATAATAAAAGCCAAATAAATAGTTTAAGATGTACTGTATTTTATATGAGCGTTCTCAGAGGGGAAAAAAATACGAGGCACTGGGATCCAGTAAAAAATTCCCCAAATTATAATTGTAATATGTAACCTTACAGGGACACTTTATCTGTCTTTAAAAAACCTCAAAAATTAAATAATTAAATAAAATGTATTGATGTAATTATTTGTCCCCTCCCCTGGAAATTTTCTGCTAACGCCCATGTCTATATACATGTTTTTATTTAATTAGATTGACATAATAAAACATTTTTATGCTTACATTATACAAGTTTTAAACTTTATTTTACTTGTTAAAAGTTCAGATTAAATATTTAATCTAATTTTCTTTTTTAATATATAATAAAGATTGAATCGTACATAATAGATAATATATATTTAAAAAATATAAATTAATTATTAGCGCTTACAACGAAACAACACCTGTTCTTATAATGATTTTATGTAGAAATTATTTTATTTTTGCAAAAATTAAGTAGAACAAATATTTTAAACATTAAAAATTTGTAATAAAAACTTAAATAAAATATTTATTTACAGACATAATTTGAATATAATCTTTTTTTTTTCAATTTAATAAACAAGAATGTCTGTATGCAATATACTATTATTTCTTAATTTATCGAAAGTTAAATTATAGACTATAATATAAAATAACAATGTTATTTTGTTGAAATAATTTATAATTATAGATAAAATACATATTTATACGTGAAAAGAAAAATAATTTAAATAAAACTGAAGATAATATACAAATATCACAATTTTTTTCTAATATAAATTGGTAATTTTTCATTTTTAAAAAACACTTAACTATTTAGAAAAATCATACTTTTAAAAACAATCAAATAAATTCAATAAGTTCATAAGATTTTAAATAAAATAAAAAAATATATACTCAATTAAAAAGAAATTTGTCACGTTAAAGTAGAAATAAAAATAAAATAATTAATTGTAATTATTACAGTATAAACAAATTTCATAACTACGGTGCGGAAATTTCATCCAATATCTATTTATAATTTTTACTAATAACAACATTAATTAACAAATAAATGAAAATGTCTAAACACTTAAATAATAAATAGTAGTAATAGAAAATTTATTTCGATTTTCTTCTTTAAAATTTATAGTGAAAAGCCTATAATATTTTCAAAAAATTAAATAAATAAGTAACTTTTAAAGTAGATATTTGTTTATTAGGATAACTTAATTCTTCTTCAACGAAATGTAAATGCCTATCATCTCTAACTCTATATTTTACTTTATTTTATTTATTTTTTTTTGGATATAATGTAATATCAAATGGTGTCATTCCGAATTCAAATCATGAAGCCAAAATCCATTTTGTATGAGATAAAAATGTGAGAGGAAAAACGTAATACATATTTCAATACAGCAGGCAATGATGCATCTTATACACTATTTTTTCTAAGCTGATAGAATGCAGGAAAAATTAATTTAATAAAAATGTCTTAAGAAAAACGCAGTAGATTTTTTATAATGGTTTTTTTTTCTTATAACATAATAAACAAAAATTGTTATCACTATTACAGTTTACCTCCTACTTTATATTGAATCATTATAACTAGAAGTATATTATTGAAGCTATGTAAAGCGAGGTATAGAGAAAATTTTAAATATTTAGCTATAAAGAATACATTGTGAAAGTATTACAAATAAAACAATTGTTTTCTTGGTTATTTTCTTTATCCATTGTAGATGGCAGCAGTAATTGCAAAAGAAAACAAGGAACGTACAAATTATCGATCACTTGCAATTCTTTATTACTCTTAACAAGTGTAATGCATGTATTTTCTTAAACAACAGTGATTAATTCTCCATCAACTGTTTTTCATTACATATTTGAAAATTTCAGTTAATATACATTATTCTAAATACCATTAAAAAAAACGGACAAAAATAACTTAAAACTTTACGTAAGTTCGTATATCTAACCAAGTTATGATTTAATTTTAAAGACTTTTATCTCGACAATTTAAAGATTAATAAGACTGATTATTAGTTAATAAAACATCAATCTTAAATTTATTATAACTTCTTATATAAAATAAGAAAATAAAAATTTCATTATCTCATTCTTAATATATATAGAGGCCTACACAGTCAAACTTCATTAATATAAAATCAAAAGGGACTTAAAAACTGGTACTTTGTATTAACGTAACTCGTTAATATTGAAATGTCTATCCTCTCTCGTACACGGGGTGACAAATCTACTTCGAATTAACGCGACATCGATAACGTAATAACGAGGTTTGACGGTACCTTTTATGTCACTATTTTGTACAGTACGTTATATGTAATTAATAAGATAATGTAATGTTCAATATTCCGTGCTGTGTATTATTCCTTAGTATAATTAAGGAGTTGATCAAGAATATCGTTTCGTAATTTTGGGAGTGTGTGGGATAAAGTAAAAAAGAATATTATAGCATTTGACATTTCTTACGAATGTGACAAATCTTTGATATTTTGATTTTAGGAAACAGTGACATCGATCTACATATGTTACGCAAGATAAGCTACAAGATTAGGTGAATTATATTGCCATCTCACATTTTTACTGTTAAAAACCTGACCTATCTACTATGGGTTAGCAGAATGAACGATGAAGCTAAGTCGAACTAAAAAAATTACGAGAGAAATTCGAATTCCTTTTGTAATTGAATTCCTTGAGGGCAGAAAAATCTTTCTTATTGTGCAATCATTCGTCAGATCAGAATATTACTTAATAATACTTATAACAGTCTTCATTAAACAGTTAATTTTAATGATTTCGTCAATAAGTGTTTACAGATGAATGATCAAGAAAGAATTTATTCCAAGCTTCAATTGCTAACCACATCTTGAAACAAAGAAGTAAATTTTGCTGTCCAGTTAAGTATAATTTTATAAAACAGCAGTTTTATTTGGTTTATAATAGTTTATATATTAATATATGTGTNGTAAAGAGGTTTGTGTATTAGGGGGATTGATGTTATTAAATTTTGGTGGTTAAAGGTCGAGAGGGTGGGGAGATAAAGGGGATCGTGTGATATATCTCGAGTAGGGTAGAACTTAACGACGATTTTACTCGTTATTAGCATTTACAATTGTTTTAAAAACTCATCCCTGCCCTCAAAATTAAGGATTTTGCCATTTTATAATATTAAAAATTTTAAAAGTTTATAATAATAAAATATGATAACAGATGACGCCACCAAATGTTGCCGGGAAAGTTAAGCAACTCGTTGCTGAATTTTTTTAAAAAGAAACTATGTATTTTCAAATATTGACTTGTCACCGATGAACTTTTTAAACTGTTTTGCATATCTTTTCAGAAGTGTAGCCTGTAATAAAAGGTCGTCTTTGCAATGAAAGACTGTTGTTCTTGGTTATTGGATATGACAAGAAATGTGGGCATTTTAGTCTTTTCTGCACGTTTTTTATGTTTAAAAATCGTCAGCCAGTTTTTAAAAAAGAATTAAACGTTACTAGCAGGTGCATGGCGTAATCATGTCGCTAATATATACAGTACATATAATCTATATTAAATTCCTTTTATGTTTCAATATAGCTTGTATTTGTTTTCGTTACAGGAATTAGGTAACGCTATGTTTAGGCCTATACTTTTCAAGTACTACCCGATCGTCCCATAACACTTTGCACATACCATCACCCAAAATTATGTAAGGTATATCTTTGATCAAACCTCTTAATTGCCCTAACAACTAATACACAAAACATACTGAATGTTACATTATTAATTGAGTACACTCGTTTAATTAATGGTTCGCTATACAACTCTTCCTAAACAAAAAGGAATAATTCTGTTACACGAGGCTTGATCCTAGTATTACGTACTGTTTTTGTAAACTCCCATCCCCTTCTAACTCATCGTAACGATTACCTGCAATTCTCATCCACCCATATATGTGTTACATAATTTATGGACAGTCATGCTATGTTCATAAAACAATAATTTAAAGTTAACTGTGTTGATTGCTAAAAATTACTTTAAAACAATTAAAGTAAATTTTAAAAGAGAAAATAAAATTGCACTATAACGAAACCGGATATGCCGCCATTATTATCGTCTGAAATAGAAATCATTTTCAAATCTAGAGTTGCCAGATACTTAAAGATACCGGGAAATCTGGCAACTCTGTTTTCATTTCAAACAACTGTAAACACGAAAGTAATTGGAAAAATATTTAATTACATTAGCAAATAATACAAATTAATAACAAATAACACGATATTGGAGGCATTCGTAGTATTCGAATTTATTTTTTTATCAACGAAATATTCGTTCTCAAATCTTGAATACCCTCTACAGTAGTATTTGAGTATTCGCCCATCTCTATTAATAAACGTATCACTACTGTCAAAATATATGAAGCTTACAACGAACTTTTAACTCAAAATGTGATGTAATTACTTTAAATTTTCGATTAAATCTTGAAAGAAAAATAATGGTGGCACTTCCGGTTTGCTGGAGTGCCAAGACTTGTATAAATTAGCAGAATATAGATCATGTACCTTATATGAAAA